GAAACCTGGACAGCCTCCAAAACTGCTAATAAGACATGTCAGTATAAGAAATTCCGCCACACCAGCTCGGTTTAGTGGCAGTGGTAGCAGCTCTGACTTCAGTTTGACCATCAGTGGGGTTCAGGCTGAAGATGCAGCAGTTTACTACTGTAAGAGCGTCCATGTCATTAACGGTGCTGATGTGTGCACACAGTGATTTTAGGTGGTACAAAAACCTCCTTCAGTCAGACTGCAGACACACAGAGCTGTTTCAGCAGGAACTGACTGCAGCTGCTGAAAAAGACAAGCAACAACACACACCACTGAACACAGAGAGAGAGAGAGAGAGAGAGAGAGAACATTTTTAAAATCACATATTATTTTCAGTTCCAATTTATTTTTTACATTAAAACTTTGTTTTGAAGTTTGATCTTTTTGTTAAATTTTACAAATTTCTTATCAGCATTCTGATCACCATGCATCAAAGCTCCATACATATCTTTTAGTGGTGTGTGTTTGGGGTTCAGACAGTCGTAGGGTCGTTTTGTGTGTGTGTGCATGTGTGTGTGTGTGTGTGTGTGTGCGTGTTTTCTTGAAACCAATGTACCTTTAGAAATTGATATCTTCTTTGAGCTGCTTGCTCCTGTTGTCTGATGCATGAGCGCCTATGTCCTCTCCAGGCCATTCTGCTTGTACGGGCCCTCTTGTCCCAGCTTGGCATGCAGCCTCATCCCTTGAAACACACTTAGGCTCTGTCTGCGTGCCCTTCTACAGTCTACTTCATACTATGCAGTAACTTCAGTATCAGCTTTTGTCCTTTCCATTTAAGATATTGTCTTGTCACATTTTAAATACGCAGCTAATAGTACTTGCAACTTCGAGTACATATATCTGGCAGATCTTACTGCTGTTTCACAGGAACAGCTCATTCTACTTGATTTTGTTGCGTGCTGTGACCTAGACAGGGATTAACTGGATTTTTCACAGGTGACGTAGGCAGCCATTGTTAGATAGGAAAGATTCCTGTTTGGAACCTCCTGTTGGGTCAGTGTGGACTCAGTGACGTTAGAACATGTCCCTTCAGACTTAACGAGACATGCAAACAACTCACAGGCAAAATGAGACAGCTGAAAAAAATAACACCAAACAGCTTTTGTTTTTAACACACTATTCAGATAGATACAGCCTAACGGGCATCATTTACAACTGTAAATACGTGTTTTTTTTTTTAATCGTATACTAGTCTAAATCCTGACCCTGCGCACATGACACTTACAATAATGCCTTTGTAATTTGTAAGTGCAGAAAAGTGCCTGGACATGCTGTCTCATATTTGACCTCTGATCATTTCAGCCAGTTTGGCTGAGAACAGAATAACTCACTCATCTCTCTATATCCAAAAACAACTTTACGAATGATCTAAACAACAATCTGTGTCTGACTTCATTAGGTCAATTTAAACATGTAAACAAATGATAACAGTCCACATGAGTGTGGAACTAAACTCTGATGGGTGAAGGCGTTCTTGCTGGTTTTATGAATGGGACGGCTTGGTGGTGGGCAATGATAACTTAGACTGAGCTATGAATGGGGGCGTTAATCAGTGCTGAGGCCATGCCCCCTAACCTCTCTAATTCGATAAAGTCTTCATACCTGTGAAGCAGCCTCTGTCAGTGGGAGCTGGAGATAATCCATTTAGGTGATGCTTTACCTGGAATCTGAGAGCCAACACTTCCTCTCTAAGAGCGGATGAGCTCTTCAGTGCTCACATTTGATCAGGTCCACACGCCGCCCTCTGCTTCAGATTCCTGTGAGATACAAGCGCTTCTGTGGCACCCACCGAGAAGATTTGGATATTTGTGCTCTGTCAGTGGGGAGGGGGGGTCATCTGATATTCTGTTCTCTGCCTGAAGAAGGATGGACGCGTGGAAGAATATGTTAAATTGTTTGATGCCTGTGAAATTCAGAGAGTATGTGAAGGACTACTGCAAGAGGAATGGACTGCTGACGCTCTCGGTCTTTGCCGTTATCACTGGCTGTGTGCTTGGATTTACTTTGCGTACATTCAATCTCTCAACGCAGGTATGAAAGGAGGGATGGGCAAAAATTTACCTTCAGACTAGTCTACTTTGACTAAATTAGTTCATATAAAGCCAATAGCACAATAAGAAAACTATGAAATTGTATACAGTACTGAAGGTGAGGCAATAGTTGTGTCCTCTTTCTCATGCACAAAGGATTTATTTAGAGTCAGTTATGCAAGAAGGTAGATGGACTAGATAAAAGGGTCAGATCACAAGTTGAAACAAGAAAAAGATCAGATTAAACTAGCTGTGTCACCTTTTACATTAGAACTGCATTCCACGACTGTGTTCGTGTCATAAGCCAACAAAACAAAATTACCTAATCTACACAATCAAATTGATCAGAATTTATTTGGTCCATTGTGATACGTACAGATATTTCTTTATAGCAGCAAAAGAATGCTCAAAATTGACCAAATCATTCAACTTTCCCTGAGGTCCAAATTAACGTATTTTTGGAGGGAGAGTAATTACCGTCATACTGATAGTTGGGTTTTTGATGATAGGAAATATGTAATGTAATAAATTGAAAATTGAGTGTTATGAAGCCCTTTAAGAAGGCCGTAAAATAGAGCATCAATACAGTTGCTGTCTCTCACAGGCCAAGATCTACTTCTCGTTCCCTGGAGAATTACTGATGAGGATGTTGAAGATGTTGATTCTGCCACTGATCACCTCCAGGTAAGAAGGGACAAAAATTAGCTGGACCCAGCTCAATTGTTTCATTGTAGATCTACATTTGAAACCGTGATAATATTCGTCAGTCTGTGGAAAATGTTCTCTTTCTTAATTGTTACTGATTTGTAGAAGAGATAAACGTTATATGAAATCTGTTGCAACCACATCACAGAAGAAAAGAGTAATCGTAAATACCTGAGATTATCATTGGGTAAAAGTGGAATTTGAAGTCATTAAATCTCAGTGTGGCATTTCTTAGGGTTCTGTAATCACAAACACTGTATAATAACTTAACTTAAAGACAAATGAACCAAGCCAAATGTTTAGAATCACTTTACAATTACAGTGTTCAGATGTTTGGTTGTCTCCAATATGTTACCTGTCCTTGCAGTCTTATGTCTGGACTGTCGGCCATGGACACGAAGGCAAGTGGTCGATTGGGAGTTCTGACTGTCACCTACTACCTGTGGACCACCTTCATCGCTGTCATCGTAGGCATTGTACTTGTGCTCATCATTCACCCTGGGACAGGGTCAGAGAAAGACGGCCACCATGCAAGTTCGGGGCCTGTTATGACCTCTGCTGATGCTCTGCTTGACCTGATCAGGTGAACATTAAAACCACATCGTCTTCAGTCAAACTGTCTGCTGCTGAAGTGCTCATGAAACAGGGAAGATGTGATTATGCTGTCTGCATGACAGAATTAATCTAATTTTTTCCTTTTATCATGGAAAAACACAGTAACGCATAACCCTATACGGAGGTATCTTATTCACTATAACAAAACAATATTTTGTCCAGAAAGAAAACTGTACATTTCAGGGAACAGTAGTACTAAAATACATGAGAATTCCTCAAAAGGTTGAGTCATCAGCATCATGATGACCTGATAAAAGAGTCAGGAAAGTGGGAAAAACTAGATGCATAAATGTAGCTTGTTTGAGAGTAATGTCAGTCTAATTTGAATGTTCCAAGGACTCTGTCCATCTGTTTAAATGTGCCACTACTAATCATTAAATAGACATAGAAGTTAATCTCATTGTTTGCCACCTCGTGTCATGACCAGCGCATCTGTCATGGTGTCAGAATGTAACAATCAAATGGGGCCCTCCCAGTAGATCAATTCTTCATAAAACTCCTGCAGGAGATTCCCATTAGACAAAGGGAAGACTTAGAGAAGTAATTGGATTTTTTTCGCCAGGCCTGGAAAAGATCAGAACAATGGAAAAAATAAGTTTCCACTTGCATAACAGCTGCTGTAGGATATATGAGATTATATTTACACTCTGTAAAGAGTTGTTTTCCAGAATGATTACATGATTTCCAATTTAACTCCACTTTTGACAATAGAGTGTTAGTTCAGATCTTTTGAAATAGTTTTGCCTCTCAAAAAGCAAGAGGCTGAGTGTTGGCAACAATTCTGGGAGTCTGATCCTGTGGGATCAGATAACTTTTATGACAAAATGGGCAAAATCATGACATTTCAGGCAAGGAAACTTTTAGGAATATATACTTCTTGTTAAGGCCATATCACAGACCACCACTCTCAGTTTATTATCAGGAAAAACGAAAGAAATCAGAATCCGACCTTCCATCTGATACCATTTCTAACTCTGAAGCATTGTTTTTAAAATATGTGAAGGAAAAAATCCTTGAAGGTGATTTGCAGCATCACTTTCACACAGCAGTTTGGTGAAGAACAGGAAGACAATCACTCGTGTTCGGCTAAGCCTTTCCTAGAAGGACCGTGCGCTGCACTCAGTCAGATTGAAGTGGCCGTCTCGTCTCTGCAGGCTTACTGCTGGGCCGTTCCTGTCAGAGGTCCACTAATGCCTTCCTCTTAAACCTAATTATATATGTGAGCTGAACATTCCAGTCCTGTTACGTGTCCCCTAATGTTGCTACCTGTGTCACTGACGTCTGCAGCATACAGCCTATAATGGTGTTAGCAGCCTCTCACCTCCAAACAAAGGCAAACAGAGAAAACCCGCTGTTCTACTGTGCCGTGGTAAAAATCTACACACAGCGTTTATGTTATCCCTTTAGGCCAAAATGGGGAATGATTTGAATCAATCCGGTTCATTCTTAGTTGTTTATTGGAAAATCCATTAGTCCTATTTAATTGCATATGAAACCCGAACATACAAAACACAGTGGATTCACTACAAGGTCTAAATCTGCCATACAAGTCGTTATAAGTCTGGGTTTTATTTTACAGTTTAAATTCCAGATACATTTTGGCAGGACACTCTTGCTTGTAGGGGCTCAATATCTGAAGAATTCACCATCCCATATCAAATTTGAGGCACAGGCATGAAATAGCTTCTGAAGTCGGTGGGTGGTAAATGCTAACAGACAAGCAACCAGAAGAACCCAAAATTGTGAGATTAAACTAAGTGTTCAATGATTTAGCCAAATGTGATAGAAATCAATGTATCATGAACACTGACCAGAAACACAAAAAAAATCTCAGGACTCCTAAAAGTTAAAACTACTCATGACTAAAAGACCCACAAACAAACAAATAAATAAATAGCAAAAGTATGGTTAAGCATCACAATACCAGTAAATGGTTTCTCAAGTGCCAAATTATATTATTTTCTTTGTGGTTTCAGCATTGGATATATCCCTTAATGGACCCCATGCATGCTAATCCTTTGCTTCTATATGGATGTGAACATAAGCTATTTGTTACATCAACTACATGTTTATTACATGCCTGTAAAAGTCAAGGTAGTTGCACAAATAGTTTCAGATACATTTTGACAGAATTCAAGACAGACAACATATTTAGGATAGCTTTCAAAGTTCCCTCATAGCGACTGCATGAGTTTATGCAACTGTTGCTTTCTTTAGTCTTTTATGAATACATATGAACTAATATAAAAGCAGCCAATAAAACAATCTGTCCATAATTTAAAATTAGAACACTTAATATCTTCCATCAGGTATTTAAATTCACTAAGAACACTAACCAAACTGCCACTTTTCTCAGCATAAAGTCATCTTTTATGACTGATCAAAACACTGTTTGCCACTGATTGAACTTACTATAACTTCACACACAACCTGATTTTGTGGTCCATTTTTTTATGTTCTTTGTAGGAACATGATCCCTTCAAATCTGATAGAAGCTACTTTTCAGCAGGTGAGTAGATGACATGAGACAAATAACCGTTTGGAGTTTGTCCAGTTCTGTTCATCGAGTAATTTCTTAGTTCTCTGGAATAACATATTTCTGCCTTTTTTCTGCCATTCCAGTATCGGACAGATTTGGTCCCCATTGTGCATAGTGCCAGCGAAAAGGAGTCCCAGGCCAACTATGTATACGTCATGCCGGACTACCAGAATCCTAAGCTTGGCCACCCTGTGTTTCTGGAGATCACACCTGCTCCTGACATCAATTACAAAATTGTTCCCAGTTCAAGCAAGGGCATGAACGTGTTGGGAATCGTCATCTTCTCAGCCACCATGGGTAAGCCAGTCTCCACAAAAGCATACACCTGCATTTTTCCAATATGCCAACCTCTGGAAAAAGTTTGTAAGACGTGATTCTTGGAGCATTTATGACATTGCATTCACTTTCAGAGTATGATGGGATCAGAATCCATCTGCTCCAGCACAGCTCTCTCCACTATTAATTGTTCCAAAAGAAATAGGTATTTGATAAACAAATCATAAAGTTCAAACTATTAATGAGCAAAAACATGCAGAAATAATTATATGATGTAGAATGAGTTTATTTTACAGCTGTAACTGGTTCAGGTGGCAGAAAACTATACAAATATTCAATTACAAGTACAAGACAAATACAGATATTTTGTTTTATATTTTGTTGAGTCTAAAACTGTATGGGTTTTTCGGGAGTTGCAGTGCAAAAAGTTTGGCAAAATATAAAAAATAAGAAAAAATACAGATAGTTAAAAATGCTGTTTCCCCCCCCAAAAAAGTAAGTAAAGCAACATAAGAAAAAGAGGACTAAAATATTAAATGTTCATGGATTTTTCTAACATTGACAGTAACAGAGAAGAGAACCAAATTAGATCATCAGTGATAATTAACAAGGAAGCTGAACTATATTCTATAGCAGAAGCTAGACGGTATAACCACACCTTATGACAAATAATCACCATCCTTGTACTGTGTGTTGTCAGGTCTGCTGCTGGGGAAGATGGGAGAACGTGGATTGCCGCTGGTCAACGTGTGCCAGTGTATCAACGAGTGCGTGATGAAGATCATTAATGCTGCCATGTGGTACGTTTGCAGTCACACATGCACTGGCATGCTCTCGTGTACACACACTGTCAACAACAAGAAAAAAGACACACAGTTCACATAGCACAGCCAGATTATATCTAAAGATAAACCACACAACGCAACCCAGGTAAGTCACCGCCCACGTGGTCTGTCATTAGAGCTGCTGAGTCAGCTGTTTGCATGGGAATGGAGCAAGGACAAATCTTTTTAGAGTCACTAAATGCAGTTTGTCAGAACAGTGAAAAGCATGTGTCGATACTTTAGAATGGTGAGAATGTACCATCCACCTGCAAACAACAACTTTGGGATTTTTAAGCAATTTCAAAGCCATGAGGACTAATCTGCAAAAACAGTCTTTACTCCGCTGGAGCCTGGCAGCAGGGTTTGATCCCATTCAGCCACAAGAGCATTAGTGAGGTCAGCCACCAATACAGGAAGATAAGGTTCAGATCAGACTGTGCTTCATTTAATCTTTTAATCCCAGATGTGTCGGAGGACAAGCCGAATTATTCCGTGCCAAAGTAGCTAAGAGTGTGGATGCGATAGAGGACTAGATTATATAAACATTTTTAAGGCAAATTGCCCTTGCTTCTCATTTAGTCAGTGTTTTTAGTGCAAGTTTATGATCTAATTTACGTAATGCCGGCGGGTCCTTAACATACATACACTTTAAAAGAACTGTTTTTATAGCCTGCCTCTGAATTCTGGCTTCATTTTTGTCTAACGTGTTGAGAAATGTCAGGTACTTTGTCAGGTTGTTTTTTATCAGTTTAAAAAAATATATTTTATTTATGCTATGTTCTATTCTATTCTATTTGTTTTTCTTCTATTCTTCTTCTTCTAATTCAGACATGTGAAACTTTATAACTGAAAGAGGTTCTTGTCTCAGATGACTGTAGCTTTAGTGGTTTATTCTTGAAGGAATGTGTGTTATTTTCCAAGTGCAAAGCAAAGTGTGATCAAAAGAATAAGCTGGCAAGTGGATAAAGAAATGGTTCTTACTCATATTCCCTTCCCACCTCTGTGCAGGTACTTCCCCTTTGGCATTGTGTTCCTGGTTGCAGGAAAGATCCTGGACATGCATGACCCAGCCCACCTGGGCGAGAAGCTTGGCATGTACTTCATCACGGTGCTTGCGGGTCTGTTTGTGCACGGCCTCATCTTGCTGCCTCTCTTCTACTACATACTTACCCGCAAAAACCCCTTCAGTTATATAAGAGGGCTGCTCCAGGCTCTGGTCATTGCACTGGCTACTTCATCCAGGTAAATGGATTAATTTTTTCCTGCTATTTGGAAACAAAAAATCCTTTCTGACTCAGTCTAACAAACGACAACTCCCTCTTTTTCCGGCCTCGTTTCTCTGCAGCTCAGCCACCCTGCCCATCACCATGAAGTGTCTCCTGGAGAACTGTGGGGTGAACCGGCAGATCGCCCGCTTCGTGCTGCCCGTGGGAGCTACAATTAACATGGACGGGACTGCTTTGTATGAAGCTGTGGCAGCTATTTTCATTGCTCAGGTCAATGACCATGACTTGGACTTCGGTCAGCTGGTCACCGTTAGGTGAGAATGAACAGAGGTCCCCAGAAAGCCATCACTGGATCCAAAGGCGTTGATCTCACATCTTTATATTCTTTTTCCCATCAGTATAACTGCAACAGCAGCCAGCATTGGAGCAGCCGGAATACCCCAGGCAGGTTTAGTTACCATGGTAATCGTCCTGACTTCTGTGGGGTTGCCTCCTGCTGACATCTCGCTGATTGTGGCCATCGACTGGGTTCTGTGAGTCTCACTGACAATGCAGATATATTCTATGCAAGAATGCTAAAGATTTTTTTGAAAGGGTGAATAACGTATTTATCCTTTCTCATTATCAGCGACCGTTTCCGGACAATGATCAATGTTCTTGGGGATGCGTTAGCTGCTGGGATTATGGCTCATTTGTGTAAAAAGGACTTCGAAAAAGCTCCAGGAGCTGCTCCTTCACCTTCTCCTTCAGCTGCCACTGCCAATGGCCGGGTAAGGATATATTTTGTAACATTTTACATTTCTGCCATGAGAAGAGTGTTACCAAAATCATGCTCGATGTTGTTCCCTGTAAAGAGTTCCCCTAGACCACTCCAGGCAATGTTTTCAAGAAAACATCACAAAAAAATCATTTTCTTTCTCAACTGTATAAAGTTTGGAGGCCCAAAAGAGTTCAATTATACTGATTTTTTTCACTTGGCTACCAGCTAAACAACCTCTACTAGTAGATGTCCCGACACCTGGCTTAAAAGATTTTCTTGAAGTGGCTTAACCCGGGGCAATTGTTACAACACACTTTTATCCCTGCGGCCATTTTCACGACAAAGTATCCGACTAATGAAACACTGCTAAAGCTTTGAGAAATGGAATTCCCACATTATTCAATCTGAAAATGGCTGGTGTGAAGATTGCTGCTTAACTAAGCAATTTAAAGAGCAATAACATCTGCAATTTCATTTCACATCATGTTAACGCCTCCTCACAGCCATATTTAACTTTGTTCCGAGGAGGTTAGCACAACATGGCCAATCCGTCCTCCCAAACTAACCCCAAGGCTCTCGTCTTGTTCCCCACAGAGAGACACAGTAATCTCTTTTGGCAACCAGAGTGTAGCGCTGTCAGATGCTCCTCTGCTCGCACACCGCTGTGACTATGTGTTCGAGGTGGACGGAGAAAACGTGCTGGAGAGACCTGTGCCCTGCTACAATCTCTGCCACGTCTGAGACCCTTTTTGCTGAACAGACCCAAAGGGATACACGACACAGATTATTCTCAGAAGACCAAATGAACAACTTGTGGCTCTGAATGCTCAAGTCATGTTTAGTTTCTGGAAAGATACCAAACATCAGGCGTGTTGAGCTGTCTGGGCTTAGTGGCTTAAGTGTATCTTACATGTGCCATGCCGAAAACAGAAACCTATATTACTTTACAGCCTCTATGTTCCCATTCGGTTTGGACTGAGTGGGGAGATGCGAGGAAATCAGCTTCACATGCAACCTGAATCTCATCAGCAATACTGAATTACTGTTTGAGAGCAAATGAAGTGACTAGTAGTGACTTGCACTGAAAGAAAGAAGTGATGATCAGCATGTGGTTGCAGCCAGACATCCACAGTAGGCCTGTTCTGACACTGTCCGATTGCAGGTACTAAAGGTACGAAATTGCCTTAACACAACCTCAGTTTTGAAAGTTATGCTGAGAAATTTTAAGACTTGAAAGTAAGAAGATACTGATAAGCAAAAGACATTCTGAACAAACTGTGTATAGATTGATATTATAGCAAAATCAACAGAAATAGACAAAATTCTGACTGACAGAATGACCATTTCTGTTTTTATACCTATGCTTTGACATTTTGTAATAAAAGCCTGCTGCACTGAAACTTGTTTTTTTTTATTATTCTAAAATACTCTTTGTAGAGATTTTTTTCTGAAAATCCCTCTCATAAAGCTGAAGATCTGTTGATTTCATCACTATCAGGAAAATGTAGTGTTTTAGCTGCTAAACATCAGACATGCGAGGGGGATTAAAGAATCCATCTCAAAACTCACCTGTAATCAGAAACCGTGTGAATATTTGTGCCAAAAGACACTGGACTGACACCACAGGAAGTTGAAATGATTTCAGTGCAGTTCTGAGTAAGAGGATTGAAGATGTGCACGGAGCATGCAGCCAACTATTAAAAGAGATTTGTCACTTTAAAGTTCAGAGTGGGTTCAAGTTAAAGCTGGGGGATAAGGCCACTTTGCAAAAGTCTTGAATGAGACAAACTGTTCCCTAAAGCTGAGAGGTTATGGCTTATCTGTCCTGAAAAAGTAAAGAAAAAAAAAAAAAATTAAAATACACAGAACACCGATTGGTTAAATTCAAATTACGCTATCCACTGATTACAATACCTCTCATAGGGGTGACACAATCTGTTAGGTGTAAAATATAAAAATGCATCCAGAATTTTTCTTTGAGATTTCATTGAAAGTCACATTTTTGTGTTTGCAAATGAGTAAGATTTAAGTTGGGAAAAGAAAAAAAATGGATTATTAAAAGATAATGTGGACAAGATGCAAATAACTCATATCCCCCTAGAGCTGATGCAAGGCAATATTAGGCCTAACACCATAACCATGACTGGCAACAAATGCAGCTTTTCAGAGCATCCAACCCACATAGGCAACAATATTAATCTGAATTTCAGAAAAATACACAAATTACTAAATCTACAATAAACTTTTGAAGAAATGTAATTATTTTCCAATTGTGAAAATTCACCTTGTTTTATTGAACTGATTCAATATAGTAGAAGACAGTTAATGGACTTTGACTTGGTGTTAAATGATTTCAAAACAAAAAACAAAACCAATTAAAAACACTTCAATACGTATCAAGTATGACGGCATACACTATCAAATAAATAAATGCCACTTCCTGTAAAGTACACTACAGTATTTCCACATATAAATTAAGGCAGACTGCACTTCATTTGTGACTGCCCCCCACAACAGACTTACGTGAATCTTTCATACACTTAGAACAACACTGCCCAAAAACCCAAGCGTTAAACACGTCAGTAGAAAAAAGAAGTTGTAAGAAAACAAAAGAAAAAACAGTCAAGACTATAACACACTCACTTGCTTTGAGCAATTTGTGAAATATTGCACACTGTTAAAGACTGACACATGAATAACATGTAAATTCTGAATCCAAACTTATTTTAAAGGCCAAATTCTGAAGCATGTAATACAAACACTCCTATAAAAGCGGGCGAGACCATGTCAAAACGGGGGGGTTGGATGATGAACCAGGTGGATTATTGCCGGGATGGGGGGGGGTTTGCAGCTGTTCCTCTGATCGTTATCAGCCATAGTTAAACCAGAGGGACAGCACCAATGCTAATGCCGGGGCTTTTAGCTCCTTTGGAGAGCAAAGCAGTGGAGTGAAAACTGATGAGCTATGAACTCTAAACCGACGATCTAAACAGACAAACAGAGTTCACTCCTCACTAACGTCAAGCCCCCGTCCCTCAGAACACTGAGGTTAGGGCAGGGACTCACTTGAATTGGAAATAAAAAATGTTGCTTGTGTATTTAAAGAAAAATTTCCTTTACCTACACGCACAAGCTGATAAATTGCTAAATGCCTATTACCTTATAAACATCAATGCCTTCAAATTAGATTTAGAGAGCCGGATGAACTCCGAGGCCTGCTGACTTGTGAGTGTGATCATAGAACGTTATCTCGTGTGTTTTTGGTTTAAAACGAAGATTTCTGCAACATCTGCTAATAAAAATGTCTGCTGAGCATTCACTTCATAATCTCTACCTAAATTGGTCCAATTTTTGGTGATAACCTTAAAAAAAATCATTTAAAAAAAAGAAAAGGAAAAAAGAAAGCGTCTCAGCTTCTATTGCAGTTACTTCTTCGGGGGATCTCTTATTGGCACCGGAGATTTTCTACTTAGAAAAATGAACAAAAATCCCAAACCACATCTAAGAAATTTTTAAAAAAGAAACAAACCAAACAAAACGTTCAGCAAAATGAAATAAAATTTAATGGTTTATGTTCAAATTGAAACAACCAAAAAAAGAAAAGAAATAAAATCTAAGGTCAAAAATCAATAACAAAGGCCATTTCTTAATCCCCAAACTTGAACTAAGCACTGGTTTAAACAAGCTGGAAACTTGCACTGAAACAAACATGTATGTCTCTACAGAAGAAACAGAAGTCAAAACAAAACAAACAAACTCAAAAGTAAAGAACTTAACATTGATGTCTCTTTCAGTAAGCATTGGGTGTAATGTCAGTACCTCTTCACAGAGAAAAACAACAAGCCAAAACGGAGTAAATTTAAAGTCTAAATCTGATCAGGAAAATACTTCTGGGTTTATGTGATTAAATCTCTAACTGCCTTTGGTCCGTCTAATTTCCCTACAAAGTTTTTTCCTGATTTTTTCCTTGTCATTTTTCGCCAAAACTTCATACAACTTATTAAAAAAAAAAAGAAAAGAAAGAAACATTTTTAGACATACCACAAAACAACAAAAAAGTTAAAAAAAGAAAAAAAAGTGTGTGTGTGTGTGGTGGTGGGGCTCCAAAGAGTGTCACATTTAAAACTGTTGGTCTGAGGGTGAGCAAAACTTCTATTTCAAACCTTCTATTTTAACATTAAAAAGACTGATATTCAGAGAAACGTCAACCGGACTAACGGGTTAAAAGTGCTTTGCCCATGTACTTTGAACTCTGGGTTGAAATGTGAGATCTGAGTCCACTGAATGATAATTTAAGGCATCTATTTCTAAAAGTGACCAGACCCAGAACAGAGCACTATATTTATATACTTAAAGGTTAACATTTAAAGAAGAGTTGGTAGGATTCATTTCTATTCTTTATATTCTCAGGGCCCTGCTAAGAATCATTTGATTGCCAACTTTCTGTCGTACTAACAGAAATGCGACAGTATTCTAGATTTCGAGAACATTTCCCAAAAGTTATCATGGAAGGGAATCTCTTCATCCACTCTGAAATAAAAGAAAAGAAAAAACAACATCTATTTCCACCAGCAAGAGTATAGTGATGAAAAAAAAAGAAAAACACTCTTTAGACAGGTACAAAGGTGCATATATGGAATTTCTAATTTAACTCTGTTTACAATAAATCCAAAACTGCTTTCCAGATGTTCATTTTTTCAGCTTTGTGACAAAAGCCCCACACCTTTTCACTCCTGCACTCCTCTACTCCTGATTGTCCGAGTCTCTCTATTTGTGGCCCTTGCTGGTCTTAAAGGACACTTGCAGTATCTTATCTCCGAGCCGGTACCCATTCAGACTGGCGATGGCCATGGCCGCCTCCTCATAGTTTGTCATGGTGACGAAGCCGAAGCCCTTGCACTTGTTGGTGTTGAAGTCTCGTATCACCTTAACGTTGGTGACCGCGCCAAAGGGGCCGAACATCTGCCATAGGATGCTCTCGTCTGCGTCCTGGCCGAGGTTGTAGATGAAGATGCACCAGCCAGAGGTGGAGTTCCCGGGAACACTCACACCTCCCATGCTGCCCATGTGATCCACACCCATGGGGGAAAATCTGGAAGCGATGAGATTTGATTCACTTGTGCTGGTTACAAGCTCAGCATTCGTCTTTAATGACGAAATGGACTAAAAAGCCACAAAACGGCCGGCATGAGACGTCTCACCTGAAGCGCTGTGCCTGGTGGTGCAGGGGCCCTCCGAAACGCCGGGACTGGTTGTGGTAGAGCTGGGAGATGAGCTGCGTGTTCTTCACCTGGTTCGGGTTAGCGGCAAACTTCACCGTGATCGGCTCCGAGGCTCCTGGGGGCTTCTGGCCGTTCAGGTTTTTCACGGCTTCCTCGGCCTCCGCTCGCTTGTCGAAGCGAATGAAGGCCACCCCGCGGGACGAACCTGGGCATGTGAGAGGAGGCGGTGACGCCCTGCCGACGCCACACGCTGCAGCTACGTTTTAGAGTGAGAAAGCCTGCACACCCTACTTCCACTGATCAATATGAAGGTATTTTTAGAAGAAAGAAAGTCATTCACCTGTCGTACCTGTAGACTGATCCACAAGTACGCGAGAGTTGATGATGTGCCCAAAGCGGGAAAACATGTCTTCAACATCCTTCTGACTCATGGACTTGGGCAGACCGCTGATGTACAAGTTCGCATCTTTTATTGTATCCGAGCTAGGCCGCGCGTATGAAACCTGGCAACGAGGAGAAAGAACCGGATTAGCACCTCCTCCGATGAAGATGAGCAAAAGATATAAAGAAGCCATCCATCAGAAACAGGTACATGGACAAATATCTCAACATATTGTGGAAATTACTATTTATTCACTTGAGAATAAAAAATGTTTGGTCTTTAAAAAACAAACAAAATTTTAAATCACTGGAGAAATGAAGGAAAAAACAATAAGATAAAACAACTGCTACCCAGTCAGGTTGTTGCCTCTGACCTCCCACATGGTGGCTCAGTCAAAACAATAAACTTAAGATGATCAAATGAGACTTTTTGAAAAACTGAACACACTAAATTAAAGTCAAGGTATGTCAGAGGGCAGCCAAGTGAGCTGTATAATCAGTGTCACTTCCTGGGGATAGGCATGTGTTAGCGCTAGTTAGCGGATAGCTCAGGAGCCACAGGAGGGTAATATGACATGACATCTTTGCTTTGAGAATTGTAGAACACCTTATGGCACGTTACCTTGATAGTTTTGGACTGTAGCCTTAGTCCATTCAGAGTACTGATAGCTCTTTCTGCATCACTAGGGTTAAGATAGTTAACAAATCCGTACCCTAAACTGTGGCCTAGAGAAAAAAAAAAAGGAAAACAATAAAATAAAACAAAAAACGTTGTATAGTTAAAAAAATCTGCAAACAAATAGTTAAAACAAAAACAAATCTTAACATTGCATGGCAGACTAAGCAAACAAATTGTCTACAGTTAAACAGAACTGGACTGCTGGTAATAAAGAAAACAAGTCTAAGGCGTGGGGAAGGGAGGGGGGGGTTGTGGGTCAAAAACTAGGAGCAAGTTTCCACCAATCAGTAATTCAGCTTGGGTATGACTACTGAAAAGTACACAACAGAATAACTGATGACGGAACACAGGCCATGAATTGAGAATCTGTCTATAAATAAGGCCTTTTAACACAAATAAACAGCTCCAGCAATTCTCCTCGTCATGAGGCTGAACCACCACTGAAAAGCTGTCCATACTCTACAGTTTTGGTCAAATCTGCCCCAGGTAACACTTTGCATTCAAACCACAGCCGTGTGTTTTCATAGAAGAGGTGGCCGTTTCCATATGACCATCTGTTAGTGGCTCAGACCTGACATTTTCTGAATGCGTCAGACCTTCAGGAGCCATTAATAATCCCATTGACAATAAGATTGATTCGTTACGGTATTCAACTTTCAAGCCTACCATCTAATCAATTATGAAAACATATTCAACAGGAGCATCTGGACACTGATCATAGCAAGCATACATATTTATGGCTTATCAACTTAAGCCATTAAAAATATATATCCATTTTCAGAACCAGGGCCTTCTTGCTGGCCTCACGCTGAAGTAGCTACAGCAGTCATTCAAACATAATCTACAGCTGGACGGTGGACCTGGTCTGTCACATGTACCGCCTCGCAGCTCTGCATACCTGCGACTTTGTCTCGAATCAGCTTGGCAGACTCCACCTCTCCAATGCTGCTAAAGAGGCTTCGCAGCTCATCCTGCGTCATGCTCTGCGGCAGGTAGTTCACGATCAGGTTGGTCTTGGCATCCTTCCCCTCATCCCCTCCCATGTGATCCTCATAACCGTTAGACATCTCATACACCTCCTGCAGGTCGGCCAGGTGGACCAGAAAAAACACAAAACAAGGTAAGCACGCAAGAACAGCAGGTGTCAAAGCCATTTTTAGATTCATTTCTGTCAGCAGAATCAGACTGGGAGCTATTTTAAGTAACCCATCGAACTTGGTCTTGATAAATATGAGTATATTACAAATATTGAATACTACACATTAATAACAAATCATTTTCTTTATGCTACCTGTTAATTATAAAATGTCTTGTTCCTGTATGCCCTGCACTATAATCTGATAGGCGAGGAAATATATTTTCCATATAACACAAACCTTCTGAAAATTGGAGAAAAAAAACAGAAAAGCTGCAGGGATGATTGTACGAAAATATAACATGTTCTACTCTTTTTCAGCCTTTGTGTCTTATTCTATTGGAGCATCCAACTGTCAGACAAAACATTAACAACAAAAAGCTTTGATACTTAATTAGAAGTTTGACACCCCAACCTTTTTTCATCTCATTCATCTTTTCAAATGAACTGAAAACACCAAAATAGTTTAAGTTCAAACAGTACCTAAAGTGACAATAACGAATGAGTTTAGATTTTAGGGCCACTAAAGACTATCCCCTTACATTAACTAGATGTGGGTATACAAATATTCCAACCTGAAATGTAGACAATGCGGGTAAACTGGGAACCCAACCCCTATACATTCCAAATTAATCCCAGTCATATGTCAGAATGTAAGGCCGTCACAGACAAAAAAGTGAGTGGGATTAGCTTGACAGCAATGCAAAAAATACTACTGTGACTCATAAGGCATTTTTTACTGGGTCAAACTGGATCAGATCTGAAAGATACCCATCTCGGAGTGAAACTGACAGAGGTCCATTCACACCAGGGAGGGATTTTGATTGTGTATTCTGGTGGGTCAAACGCACCCACTGCCAGGATGAAAGAGAGCCCTGTATGAAGCCAGTGAGCATTAGTAGAGAGGCTACACTACTCGAAACCTGTCTTAAATGTTATTCTAATGCCCTTTTGCATTTTTGTGCATTGTAGGTCCTGCAAAGCACATCAACGCTAGGTCAGGCTAACAATGACAAGGAAATATTTACAGTGAGACTGCCACCTACAACACATGCCACTCTGCAAATATCACACACTACTGTGCTGTTTTCAACTACCGCTGGGGTTCAATACTCACTTTTAAGTACTTATTGTGTCCTCGACGAACTGCCATGAAGACCCTTCACTGCTCCTGAGGCTGAGTGGAAATAAAACAAAATCTGTGACTATACACAGTCACATTGGATATTTCTTTTGAACTATAAACCCAGTTAGTTGACAGTCACCTTGTATGGTGTTATTTCCAGCTATTGGGCTGTAAATTTGATATGATCTGCTGTTCTGAGAAACTGCAGAGCTCAGTTCCCCTTCTGCACTCAACTTAGCAGAAGACCGAGTGTGAATAAATATGCATTCTCAACTGAACTCTGATGCTCATTTCAGGGGGTTATTGTAGACTAATAAGACTAGAAGTCGAGATAAATAGTGATGCCAACTCTCTTCACAGGCATAGAAAAAAAAACATGCTGCAGAAGTAGAGGATGGCACTAGACTGAGAACAATAAAACTGGTGTTTACTGCTGTGTTGCTGTTCACTGGAACAAGTTAAACATCCCTTTTGTAACTGATTACAAACAAAAGCTTTCCCTCTGTGGCTCTATGGTTACAACATCAATTCAGCCATGACAGACCTAACAATGCAATATATGTTAGGGGTCAACTACATCTATGAGAATTTGCATTATCAATTTTGTCCACCTCAGAAGCTTACCGTGTGGGTTTCTGACTAGATCATCCTTTACATTAATTTCTTTGTAGCTGGTTCAACTTTGAAGTAATATATCAGCTGCATGGTGTAAAACTACCCTGCATGCGAGCTGAAAACTGACCATAAATTATCTGCAGCATCGTCTATTATCTCCATTGGAGACACAACCACAAGAATCAAGCAAATCTACAGCATTAACGAGCAAAAAATAGTCAGAGAGCAGCCAATTTGTTGGGAACTGGTATTTTAATAATCAAATCAATCGTAGTACAGCCAAATCCTGATCAAGACACCTGCCAGAGAAATTAATGGAACTACTGCAGATCCACATAAATAAAGTAAATAAGTGGTTTGAGTCACCAAAATGCAGCACATAGATCACACAGATATTCTGTATTGAGAAGAAAATTTAAACCCTTGGGAAACTGTGGTAGGAGCTCCCACATTTCCCACGGACTGATCTCAAATAGTAAACACGTCTTACGTAGAGACATGCAAAATTTTGAACGAAAATCACAAACATATGGAAACACATGACCTTTGACTGTAATTAAATATTGTATGACTAAATGTTATTGAAACAACATTGATAAATCAATACATTTTCCATCCGAATTGGGGACCGTCAACGACAACAGGTCAGTTATCCTACTCCATCTCGGAAACGTGAAGAGGCCCAACTAGCATTACTAAGAGTGGCTAGCATGAGCATGCTAGCGAGGAGCACGTTCACTTAGTTTCCTGATTAGAAGGGCAAATATATCATCCCTCTACAAAGAGCAAAAATGCAAATGAACAAAGTCCTAAACTTGGCAGAGCTTTTAATCCAAAACCCCTCGCATGCGAGTAAATTTGCTCAAGTAGCATGGCATTCTCGGTTAGCTACCTTGCAACACCGCGTCTCCATTTTTGAGAGCGTCTTCTTAAAGCTTATGCGTACCCGCGCCTAAACCCTAGCGGCCTGTGAACAGGCCCCGGGAGCTAACGCTAGCCGATGCTAGCTGTCCTCCGTGGGCCTGCAGAGCGGCATGGCTTTCATTCACATTAGACAAACCGTTTAAACCTTTGACGTCGAATTACACAACCGAAAGGCTAAGGTGATCGTTTAGCGTTTTGATATCTTACCAGCTTTATTGGGTAATTGCTGTTTCTGCTCTGCACTCCTATTTCTTTTCCTTCTTGACGACGCTAACTTCCCTCCAAGTCGGCCTCACGCAGAAAAGAAAACGGGGAAGGACGAAGCTACGTAACGGGGCGAACCGCGCCCACCGGGACCGAAGCACGCCTCTGCAGGACACCCAGAAGCCCCTCTCAGCGTCTTTTTAAACACGGAAGCGGACAATATTTGTCATACAATAACTGCTTAAAAAACATTCAAAGGCGTTCAATATGGAACTATTTACATCAACCTTTTTTCTGCTGATTTGGGGTTATATTAGGAGGGATACACAAACTAAGACTTAGTCAAATTCTTTATTTAATGTATGTGTATAGCTAAGAAAGAAATTAAAAACGCAAAAGCTCGGGGTAAAAATTGTCATTGGACACAGCAATGCTAAAAAAAAGAACGATAAAAATCTGCATTATGACATGGAAATGTACTGTTTCTCGGCAGCAGGCTACTCAGTTCAATAAGTAAAGAAACAAATCGTGTTTCTTTTAAGTTTATTTGAAGTGCCTTTAAAAAGTCTGTCTGAACAATTGCAACAGCACATCACATAATCACAGTAAGAAATGTTTTCCAACGAAAATCAGTAGGAAACAAAAAAATTGCCATCTTAATACATGAAAACACAAACCAAATCATGGCACTTTGCTTGGCAGAAATATCCTAAAAGTGCTCCAGCAAAGGAAGTCCAGCACCTTTTACTCCATAAAATCAGAAATTAGAAAATGTGATCAACTAGAAACCTTTTTGTATTTTTTATTACCATGCAGTGAAATCATATAAGCAATGCAAATGTTTTACATGAACATTTTTTAATACTTGAGTGTTGAATGCTTCAGTAGTGTTGCATGCTTTGTACAGGAATGAATTAATTATGAATTAACAGAAGTGAGAGCAGCATGGCATACCATGAAACACTATCTAGTGTTAAGCATCTGTCGAAGCATCAGTGATTTTTGTCCAGCATTCGATAATTCACTCTTTGTGGGTCTTTCCACAGCTGTGCTGCTGTGAGAAGTAAAACAACCTGAATGAAAAAGGGGTAAAAAAAAAAGTCAAATAATATTTCAGAAAAGGAAGAGCAGGGTTGACATTAACTGATGAAAATCCTTAACTTAAAATAGGCTAAATTTGCTCTGCTCCAACACTAGGATTAGTGTGCTTGTAAAGCACAATGAGCCCAAGAGGGTTTCACTGGAAATGGTCTGTTGAAGACTAATGAGAATTTAAAAGGCCCTAAAGGGATCAGCAGTTGTGATAAAAAACATACATTTTTGGGCTGCCTCTCACATTTTCCATAGGGGATTGTTGTTCAAAGGATAGACAACTGTAACTTCACCATTGTTTTAACATTCTTTAATTTGTCATGGAGGTTTAAAATAACAAAAATACAGTGTAGGAAATACTTAGAAGTGTTATCAAATACAACATACCTCGATCAGAGAAACCACCAAGATGCCCCAGATGATTAATTTTAGGAAAAACTGAAAGACATTGCCCAACTTTGTCTGACATCCCTGAAACGAAGACATCCAAGAAAACAATATTAGGAGGGGTTACTAATTAGAATACTACCTAAAAAACTGGCTATTGTAATTATAATGACAGACCAGTCAAATGGATAATAACATTTCTTTGTTTATCCATGGCACAAATTTGAACAGTTTCATCACACAGGCTGAAAATGGTATAAGTGTCTTTACTGTGATTTGTCACATGTCTCTATAAGTGTTAAATCATCTCATATATATGTTTAATTTCCAAATCCTATAAAAATTTCATGGCCCCACCGTTATAAGAACACTGAATGTTTAGAGTTAGATTATAAGAGTAAATGATTAGTGATGGACTTAATGTACATGGTTAGAGCCACACGTAAATTATATGTGGTTTTGGTGATATGGATTTATTTAGATTGGACTGGATTTACATTCTTACCTCTGAGTAGAGTTCCAATGGCTGTTCTAAGGAGCCACTGCATGAGGGGAAACTAGTGTTGCAACAGCTGCGGGGGACAAAGAGTCCCCCGGTTTTATTAAACCAAGAGGTTTCCATCCAGTCTGTGTAGTTATGAATACCACAACACTGAAGCTATCAGAGATAAAAAAAATAAAAAAAATCTAGTCAAAAGCAAGATATTTACAGCGATGATAGGGGCATTAAAGCCCTATTTTGTAATGTTGCAGCTTAGGTAAGATGATCAATGTCCCTGTTTATAACTGAAAATGTAAAATGAGACTCAGATATAGCCGTTAACACATTCTGAACACTAAATACACGTGCTTTGAAATTCGCTTGCATAGATGGTCCAGTTTGCTGATGTCTGACGAATGTACACACACCTCCTCTTGTGCCATGTCAACTGTTCGAGAACTGGGGTCCTGACTGCTGCCAGTATAATTCTGAAACACTTCTGTGATGGGAGTTATCTCTGAATCCAACTAGCCAACAGACAAATAGAGCATAGACATTGTTATCAGGGTTAATCTGTTGTCACTACACAACAATTATAGAAAAATATGATTTTGTTTAAGGTTGCTTGTATACCTTTACTGAGTGGAAATAAGCCAAGGCTGAGGCCGTACTTTCCAGACAAAAGACAATAATGAGGAGGTAAACAAACTGAAGAAGAAAGTGTTTTAATATGTATGTTCAAAGCAAAAATATGAAGGCAAAAGCCGACATTAACACTGATAAGCTCACCATTCCTTGCAGACAGCGGGAATCCTTGTGGCTAACCCAGGAGCCGAAGCACCCGGTGGCCACCAGGAAGGCAGCGCTGCAGAACGTGAGGAAAGCTGGCAGGGTGATGTAACTCTCAGAGAAAAACAAGATGTTGTGTCTGAACTTCACTAGCAAGTAGACTCCGCTTAGGCCCACCGCCAAGCCCACCATCTGGTAGGTTTAGAGACAAATCATCCAGAACATTTCAAAGCAATAGCCTCATTAGGAGATGTTGTCAGTAGACCTCTGAAATTTTTTCATCTTCACCACTTGAGATAAATTAATATAAAATACTGACAGCATGCATATTTTGTTCCATTAGGAACCAAACAGTGTCCTTGAAGTGGTAGCATGAGGAGACACGACAAACCAGTTTACTTTGGGCATTCATTTTAATTGTTAAAACAAAAAAGAGAAAACACCCCATACAAAATTAGATTCAAATAGACTGAGATTATTTATGTTAAACAATGTAACTATTCTAGCTGTTTCCTCTTGAAAAAGTACTTCCACTTCACAGCTCATACTTGAATGATTCATTGGGTGCTTGATTAAATGTTACTGATTAAATGAACAAATGCATCTTCCTCCCTACCATTAAACAGGACAAATGGTTTAAATTCCAAGAGTTTATCTTCTGATTTATCTTCTGACAAATGTAAACACAAAATGTAGCCTACATGCACATTTCCTGCTCTTGTCTCTTACTTTGTTTCCTATCTCTCTCTGAATTTGTGTCACATGACATGTAAATCCAACAACTGCATGTCAATGACAGATTCATAAACAATAAAATCGATTCAATTCCTCAAATCCCCTTTAAATGAATGTAGGCTAGTCGTGGAAAAAGGTGTAGCTCCAAACCGAGGTGGATTATTTAGTCAGTTAACACTTTGAATATGAAGAATAAACCCTTACCTACCCAAAGGAGCTGGCAGGTAAGCTGAAATATGGTTTTAAGAGCGCGTCTCCTCTGGCCACACATTTTCACCTTAGATTTACGCGCAACTGACGCAGCCAGATCCGCTTAACCAGAAGAACCAAATGAATAAGGTCCTGGGAAGAGAAGTCACAATTTTGGACACAAGGGAGGATTTGAGGAACTTTGTAAACAAAGTTCAAGTGAAAGAGCCAGAGAAAAGCTTCCCCAAAGTAAGCGGAAATAAGTGTGATTGACGGTCAAACGGAAAGCACGCCCCTGCGGGTTTGCCTGGATTGTGCAAGTGGTGGGAAGTCGAGTCATTTGTTTTCATATGTTTAACAAGAGGTTTAATATTCAAATATCAGTTTACAATGTCAGTTAACAATATGAAGGTGGAATTAAAACCGTGAGTTGTTCCAAAATGTCCAGTTTCAGTAATATAATCGTCTTGCCAGACGTTAAAATTCTATGTGCTTTTTACTTCTTTAATAAGCTCAGATTTTAATTTAATTACCACAACAGACACCTGTGTTTTGTGTTCAAAGCATAAAGAAAGTCCTAACAGCGACACATTCTGAATTTCAACTTATTTTTGTTATTTTCAGAGTCGTTTAGACTTCGTCAAAGCAAAACAAAATGTGTTTTTCCTGTGCGTGGCCCAAATGCAGCGTCATAATGTAACTTATAATGATATTCCTGATGTATCCATCTATCCATTTCCCAAACTGTGTATTCCAAGAAGGTTCAGAGCTGGAGCCCATCACAGCAGCCCGTACATGTAAAACTTGCAGACCTTCTCTGTGCGTGCGCTTGAGCAACACTGCCCTCTTGTGAGTTTAAATAAAACAAAGTAATCCAGATTGCTGACCCTTTTGTGGGGCACTGCTATGGCCTCATCACTGCTTCAGATGCAAGTCACTTGACTACACAGTCAAGTGATTTAAAGAAGATTGTTGTAATGTGTTTCCAGACTTTAACAATATCCATCCATCCATTATCGTTTCCGCTTATTCCCTAATGGGGGCCCCTTTAGCAATATATATGATCAAATGAGTTAATATAGTTTTTAATCCCTATTAAAGTGTCTCATAGGAGGGGAATTAAAACAATGCATTATGCGCATGAATATGTATACTAGTCTGTGTCAGAGTCTCTTCCTGTTCAGCAGCTGCAGTCAGTTCCTGCTGAAACAGCTCAGTGTGTCTGCAGTCTGACTGAAGGAGGTTTTTGTACCACCTAAAATCACTGTGTGAACACCCAAGCACCGTTTATCTTATGGATGCTCTCACAGTAGTAAACTGCTGCATCTTCAGCCTGAACTCCACTGATGGTCATTTCTGCGTTCTCTCCATCTCCTTTACCAGAAAACCGAGGAGAAAACTCATCGGTGGCATTTTGACCAAGCTTGATCACCAATTTGGGAGCTTGTCCAGATTTCTGCTGATACCAGTTTACTCTACTATCACCATCTGACCATGTGTAGACCTTTGGGTTTGTTGTACAGGTCAGACTG